GGTGTCTACGACTAAGTATGTTACATCGAGTCCAACCAACAGCGCCTCATACTCGGTCTCATTATTAGATGCTTTGAATCCAAGTCTTATAGCTCGTTATACTGTGAATCCTCCAGGATTGGCCAAGACTACACCTACTCCTGCCATTTTGCATTCGAGGATCCATCCACATGCAAACTCCAAATGTCATTTTTGAAAGTTAGATCCCTTTTCGGTAGAGACTCAGACGCAGAGAATTCAACAATAAAATCAGTAAGGATATGTCCCTTGACTGAAGTGCAGGGTTTGTAGCGTATCTCAAACTCTCCTAGATCCACGGCCCATTTAACAACTCGTCCAAGCATGTCAGCCTTATGAAGTATCGGTTTAAGGGGCTGATCGATCAATACTTCAATGGGATGCACATGAAAATAATGTCTGAGTTTTCTTGCCGAGACTACTAGAACTACAATAAGCTTCTCTATCGGCAAGTATCTTATTTTGGTATCAAAAAAGGTCTTACTTATGAAGTAGATAGGTCTTTTTCACCCCATGATGCTCTCTTACCAGAGCTCCACTAACTACCCTTTTTGAGACAGATAAGTAGAGATTTAGCACCTTACTTGCCATCGGAATAGATAGGGTTGGGGGGGGGACATCAAGTATTCATTGATCCCCTCAAGTGTTCGGTCACACTCCTCACTCCAAATTCCCTTTGTTGTCCCTCTAAGCATGGTGAAGAATCGCTTACACTTGTCTGAGGATTTAGAAATGAACCGGTTGAGAGCAACCAACATCCCGATCAGTTTCTAAATGTATTTGACAGTCTTCGGCGCCTAGATGCCCTGCACAGCTTGTACCTGATCGGGGGTTAGCTTCTATGCCTCGATGGATAACCAGGTACCTCAAGAATTTGCCCAAACTGACACCAAAAGCACACTTCGGGACATTGAACTTTAGGCTGTACTTTCAGAGCACGACAAAGGCGGGCTCGAGATCCTGTAGATGGTCGAATTTCTCCCTGCTCTTTACCAATATGTCATCAATATATACTTCCATAGTGACATTGAGTTACTGGCTAAACGTCTTATTCATCAGGCATTGGTAAGTGGCACTAGCATTTTTCAACCAAAATGGCATCACCGTGTAATAATATATCCATCAAGGTGTGATGAATGTCATTTTCTCTTGATCTGTTTCGTGCAAGGGGATTTTATGATAGCCCCGCTCGAGCATCCATGAAAGAGATACATTCATGACCCGCAGTCGCATCAACAAGCTAATCAACTTTTGGCTACGAATAGTCATCTTTGGGGCACGCCTTATTCAAGTCCGTAAAATCTACACAAACTCGCCCTTTTTCTTTGCGCACACCGTGTTTGAAAATCACTCGGGGAACTGGACTTCCCTGGTAGACCCCGCCCTGAATAACTTGTCTACCTCTTCATCCACTGCTTGTGCATGATGGGGTGTCATCCTTCGAGCTTTCTGTTTCATGGGTTTGAATGTTGTGTCCACATGAAGTCGATGACATATCACCTTGGGATTTATTCCTGTCATTTCGGCTTAGGTCCACGCAAAGACATCTGCATTCTGGCAAAGGAATCTTATCATGTCAGACCTCTCGGTGCCGCCTAATGAAACCCCTATTAAAAATAATCTTTCCTCGTCCTCGGGATTCAAAAAGATCTTGACCAGAGCCTCTGTAGATAGATTGACCGGATCAGTAATTGGGTCGTCCATTCCAAGCCGACCGAACTGTGATTGTTATTTCGTCAACACCGCCTTGGTCACAACCTTGGGCTAAGGCGTTGACCCCAATCTTCACTGTAGCGTAAAAATAGCTTTTTGATGACGCTTGATCGCCATGAATCTCCATGATGGGTTACGAATCTTAATGACACCCCTCGGAGTGGAAACTTTATCTTCTAATGATATGATGAATACATCGCTTTCATTGCATGTAACCATGTCCTGCCCATGATGGCATTGTATGGAGAATCGAAGTTTATTACCACAAATTCTACTAAGAAAGTAATGATCCTGACAGTAACCATGAAAGTGATCTTCCCGAGGGGGAGGGCGTAAGAATCGTTGAAACCCATGAGAAGGGTCCTTACTGGTTTCAAGTCTTTTGGGTTGAACCCCATTTTGCAAAAAAGGCTGTCGTCCATCACCTCGAACGAGTTTCCCGAGTCCACCAGGATCCTTTTGATATCAAACTTGTCGATCTGAAGGGTGATTACCAAAGCGTCTTCATGTGGGAGTACTAGCCCACCAAGGTTGGCATCGAAAAGGTGGATAGCCTCGGCATCGAGCCGAGGTATCTTAGATGACTGTCCTCATACTTGTTTTCCTCCACCTACATGGCTTGTGAGACCCTCTAGAGATCGGCTCGGAGTGAATTATACGTTGGTCTATCAACTGTGCAAGCATGTATTACTTCGATCACAGTCGCCGCTTCTTGGGATATGTCAGCCCCTTCTCCCACTGAGCCTTTTGAGGACTTGTTAATGAACTCCTCGAGGTGTCATTATCGGACCAATTGCTTGAGAAATGACTTGTATACCCTGCAATCTTCAATCAGATGCCCCATATCCTGATGATAAGAACACCGAGATGTCGAATCTCTCGAGGATAGGTCTCCTTGCATCTTTGGGGGCCACTTAAAGAAAGGATCATTCTTTATCTTGTGCAACATCGTATAAATGGGTTCTTTGAAGACCGTATTTATCCCTTAAAAAGACAGGTGGCTCAGAGCCGGAGGTGGTGCCCCCTTCTTTTAGGCGATTCTCTTTCCCATTTTTTCGGCACTAGGGCCCTATTCTCGAGCACAATCAATTCTTCCTCTACCCTGGCGTATTTGTTTATCCGAGCCATCAAGTCCTTCATTCCTATCAGAGCTCACTTAGTAAGAGATCGGTACAGATCGATGTCTCGAGACAATCCTAGCTGAAATGTGGCTATTGTCATGGCCTTCGAACACGCCTCAACCTCATTAACCTCCTCCCTGTACCTAATTGCGTATTGCCTAAGGGTCTCTCCACTCCTCCGTTTGAGTGTCAGCAAGGCGTCGATGTCTTTTGGCCTCTTGTTGTTGATGATAAAATCGAGCCACAAAGAGCTCAATCATTTGCTTCCAAGATCTGATACTCTCAGGGGTCAAGCTCTCATACCACTTCATAGTAGTGTCTTCTAGGCTCATAGAAAAAAATCAACATAGTAGCCTTTGGTCAGTGTTATAAATGGACATTAGCTACTTGTATTATCGCAAATGGCTCTCAGGATCTGTTCTCCTATCATAAATCTTGAATTGGAGGACAGTGAACTTCTTGGGCATCTCGATCTCCCGGATCACCCGAACGAATGGGAAGATGATTTGCTCATCCTTAGCATCTTCATCTTCCTTGTGGTATGATCTTCGGCGCTTGGCTTCCAAGCATGCTCGGAGGTCCTTCCGGGGTCTCATTTTTCTAGGCCCCCTAGCAGTAGAATCCATGTGGGACTCTGTTGTCTTGGCACCCCCGACAGCCTATGGCAGAGATCCCCACGAGAAAGGTCTGTTCTGCGCCTATACCCTTCCAATCTTTCCTTAGGAGTAGGCATTTCACAGCTCCGGGGCCTGCACTTCTTGCCTAGGAGCCTGTGTAAGTTCTTCCTCAAGGCATCCAGTCTTTTACCCCCTAGAATCACCTTGGCTGATACATCTGTCTTCACGTCTGCTGCTTCGCTAGCTGGCATTTCCTGATCACTCAAAATCATCGAGCAGATTCTGTACCTTAGCGTTATCCTTCTCAAGCCACTTAAGATGGTTTCCCATATGTTTCTCCATCAACTCGATGATTTCACAAGCCAAAAAAGGCTTGCCCCTAAGGGCTTTGACCCACCGGCAGCGTTTGCTGTGAGGCATGCTAACCTCCACCTGACTGGCTCACGGAGTCTGACTCGGTGACTATTGGGAGCTAGCTAGCTTTCGTGTTTCTCATGCATAGGCTGTCCCCCATCACCTTGGGATCGTGTGTTCACCATGATGCAATTGTTACGAGGAAAATTTGTGATTTTTCACAGACAGCGCCAAATTGCACGAAAAAATTCTTGCGAGGAATAGAGATAACCTGGATGATGAACCTGAAACAATCAAAAGGTTAGGAAAAGAACCGGGTGAACACCCGGCTAATCCCCTCCAAAGCTTAAGTCAGCCGGCATTGGAGACATGAGTACAATGTATTTTTTGAGTTTTTTTTTTTTTTGTGTATCTTTGTTCAACTTTCTCTAGAGTATTTATACCTAAACTAATAATGATTACGGGGCCTGTGAGTCTCATCTCAGCATTTAATGACTAACACTCACATCCAAACATAATGAATGCAATCTAACCAAATCCCCTCAAGATTAACCCCCTCGGGAGAATAAATCTATATTCGAGGTCCCCCGAACATTAACTTCCCCTTGTCAATCATTCAAGAATCTTGGCTCGTTGCTTGACACCTAGGCCTGAGTGTTAACTGTTCGGGAATAAGTACCTTGGGTCTTGCTAAGGATAAAGGATCAGCGTAATGATAATTAATGCTTTACATTGATGATTGGCTCTATGGGTCTTGAGAACACAAAGGTTCATTTATAGCGCTGTCACAGTCACTCAAGTCATCATTAATGAGCAGTCATGTCCTCTTTAATGCTGAGCTCAATTAGTGTATACTCGGCTCTTTTGGGTCATAACTACTCAGCTACTTCTCTTGGCGCCCTTTGAGATCAATAACAACTATAACTATCCACGTGTCAACTTGGGGGCCTAAAGTCCCATCAATATATGTATATAACTTGGGCAATCCGCCCGTTCACCCAATTAGCTGTTGTAACAATGTCCCCTTGCATCAGAAAATGAACCCTTTACCAGTACCAGCATGAACTTTGGTGATGCTGCCTGTGCACATATGACCTATAAATCTCTACTTAAAGATAACTCTTGCATCGAACAGCACATATAGAATTGAGAGTAAGAAACTAAATTAACAGCCCTCATGGCAAAGAGAGATGAAGGAACATATCTTTTTCTAATTCTTTCCTTAGCCATTTTTGTTCCTCACTTGGCTAATGCCACAGTTCCGGCCATTTTCGTACTAGGAGACTCAACTGCAGATGTTGGAACTAACTCTTTGTTGCCCGATAGCCTGGCAAGAGCTGACTTTCCTTTCAACGGTATCGACTTTCCCCACTCCAGGCCAACGGGGAGGTTCAGTAATGGATTCAACAGTGCTGATTTTCTTGGTTAGTAGTATAACACTTAGATAATAGTCTTGCAAATTGTTTTGAGCATTCATCAATTATTACATGGATCATCTGCATGTGTGACACATACCAGGGGGGCAGGGGCTAATATTATTTGCGTCAAGCTAACATTGGTTTTGTATCGGTTCATTCATTTCATTGGTCAGCCAAGCTAACGGGGTTCAAGAGAAGCCCACTTCTTCTGAGCCTCAAGTCTGGTCTCCCAAACCGTCTCTGTCGAGGCGTAAACTTTGCCTCAGGAGGGTCTGGCCTTCTTGATATAACTGGACAAACGCTGGTAAGACATTTATCCTGTCCAAGCTCTCTCCATCCCTTCTCATGTGTATTGCACTTGGAATAACCAACAGAAAGTTGTGCCATTATCAGAGCAGATCAAGCAATTTGCCAGAGTCTGCCACAATCTTACCGCTTTAAGGGGTCCGGCATCGACCGAAAAACTGCTTTCTAGACCTGTGTTCTGCATCAGCATAGGAAGCAATGACATTTTTGGCTATTTCCTGACCAATAGTACTGTGCCTAAGGAAGAGTTTATAACCATTCTCATCTCTATGCTTATGCTATTTTGGGTTGGTTTTCAGAGAAATCCATTTAAGTTTTAACTGAAACTCAAGCTATACTGTTATAACAGAGCCTATACAGCCTGGGAGCAAGGAAGTTTGGCATTATAAGTGTGCCAACAATAGGGTGCTGTCCAGCCCAAAGAATTTTCAATTCCACTGGTGGTTGTTTGGAGGCCATGAATGACTTTTCTAGAGCTGTCTATTCAGCACTTGATTCCCTCTTGTGCAAAATCAGCTCAGAGCTTCCAGGGATGAAGTACTCACTTGGAAATACATATGAAATGTTATACAAAACCCTTCTTCTTTCCTTAAGTAACTCATTCTGTTGACAACATTTCACATGGACTTTAATTGAACCAGCTCCGTATATAGCATTTTACTTGGTTAATACAAGAATTACAAATAAGGGTATAATCCTAATATTTTCAATCTCTTTTAAATTATTCAGAAGTTAAGAACGGGGACACGGCATGTTGTGGATTCGGAACACTGAATGCAGAACAACCTTGTAATGCAACAGCCAATCTTTTTTCAAATCGCCGGGATTACCTATTCTGGGATCTGTATCACCCTAGTCAAGCTGCCTCTCGTCTGGCAACCATAACACTTGACGGTGATGGACCAAGATTCGTCTCCCCCATTAACTTTGCTCAGTTGGCTGAGGATAATTAGCCTACAACTAACCTTACGGATAAATCCTTCTTTATTTCAAAAAATTGTATGCCAATAAGTCGATCTATGATTTCATCTTATATTTATCGAAATGACTCAATTCCATTTTTTATTGCCAACATTATGGAAAAATCCTGTGTAATATCTTTCTTTGTTTGAAATTCACTCAATTGTTTAGGCATTTCACAGCACTACATTGAATCTTGAAATGGACTAAAATAGAGGGTCCCTTTGATAAACATAACACATACATCATCCATGAGAGTATTTTATTTTGAAAGAAGAAAAGTACATACAGCAAACCATGATAAATATAGAAGATTTATTCATAAAAACGGAAGATGAGAAATATTTTATATTTATTTCGAAAATGAGGACGAATCAATTATAGAAACATCTTATTTGGCATATGTTTTGCATATTTTACATTGCAGGATAACATAATACATAGACAGGAGAATTTGGACCTCATTTCAACAGCTTTTTACAAACTTTTTCAATTCATGAAGTTAAACCTATGCAGCAACTTCAATGGGTGTTCTACTTTAGAGGCAGCATTCCAACAAATCAAGCAATTTGCATATCATTGCATCGTGACATCTGATAAGTTGACAACACATGACTAGTTATCATCTATGATAGAAGTGCCATTGCAGTCTGAGTCGTCATATCTACACAACCCTCTTTCACCTTTGGAACTGATACTGTTTACGAGCTCTTCTCTCTTCCTCTGCATATTTAGCCAGTGCTCTGGCTCCTCAAATAGTCTCAAAATCTGCAAAACAGGACAACTCTGTGAACCTTGTCACTTAAACCATTTTTTATTTTTAGTTTAAGAAGTTGGAAGATTAAGTTCTAACTGGTATATCTTGCAGGAAAAGCACTGTAGTGACTGGAAAGGCTAGTACAGAATTCTTCTATTGGACTACAAAAGTAAAAGTTCCCTGAGGGCAGAAATTTACTCATCGTGATAACAAACTAGATTTTCTTGGTTCGAATTCTTGGCCAAAGATTGTAGACAGGTAGCTCGTGAATGGGACAGTAAAATGAATCACAACTTGTAGAATTAAAATGAGATGATTATTATCAAGCTGTTGAGAGGTAAAAACATACTGTTTTCATTGATGGTCTCCTCGAGGATGAATGCAAGAGGCAAAGGCGTGCTGCGATCATCACTGTCTTCATCTCATCCTTCTTGTAGTCTTCGTTCAGGTGAGGATCAATTAGACGCTCACACAGGCCACAGCTGAGTAGAGACCTTGCCTGCAGTTCAATGGGCTTAGATGCTTCAACTTTGAGATTAGACAGACTTCTATTTTGTGCTGTAATAAAAATTTATTTTGTAATTCCTACCCAAAGAACTAAGCTTTCATGATTAAATGACTGGTTGGTATGGATAGCCTCTTTCCCTGTGATCAGTTCCAGCAACACGACCCCATATGAATACACATCTATCTTCTCATCAACTTTGCCGTACATCATGTACTCTGGGGCCAAGTATCCAAAGGTCCCAACAACATGAATTGGTTTTGTATATGCTGAAACTTGCTGAGTTTGCTGATGGACCATTGCAGCTCCAAAATCTGACAGCTTGGGATTCACAAAAAAAAAGTGTTATTTCATTTTTTAGACTACATTATATCACATTGCAATTGATGATGGTAGGCTCATTAAATTTAGACCAATTAATGATGGTATATGTGCATATGAATTGGTCTTAATTTGATGAATTCTACATGAAATTATTACTTTGAACAAGAAAGTGTAAATAATTCTTCAAATTTAGGCTAAGAAATAGATCTTGGTTTGGTGGTGTGATTGTGTGAAGAACTATTATTTACGAGAAGGAGATTTGGATTTCAACCCCTAAAAAAAATAGCTGCTACGCACTGCTCAAATCATTTTTCATGAACAAAGTCTTTGTACTAAGCTTTGGGAGATTAATAGCAACAAGGTGCTACAAGGGGAAAGAGAAAAAATGCCTTTTAGTTGTTCTCCATATTTGAAACTATTGAGGAGTCATTCAATATTAGGAAGGAAACCGAAAAAGAATTTACTTGAGGTTCGCAATTGTCCGAGAGAAGAATGTTAGATGACTTCACATCTCTGTGAATGATGGGAGGGGAGCGAGAATGGAGGTACTCCAGTGCTTTTGCCACACCAATCGCAACCTTCATTCTCTCACTCCAACTGACCTGTTTCAAATTTTGCTTCAAACTTTCCTTTTGTAGATTGTAGACAACTACATGCAAATCTTTACTGCAACAGTAACCAATGAAGTGCACTATGTTTTCATGCTTCAAACCACTCAGCATTTCAACTTCTCGAAAAAGATCCTCTTCTGAAGACCTTGTGGGCTTGAGGACCTTCACTGCTACAGCCTGATCATCATCAAGGTTGCCCCGGTATACCTTGCTGTGCCCCCCCTCTCCAATCAACATTTCTGGGCTGAAATTATTAGTTGCAGATTTAAGCTCTTCTGTGGTGAAGCGCCTTCCACACCCCTTTGCTTCTAAAGTAGCCAATTTCTGAAACAGTTTGTGAGTTGAAAAATCAGAAAGCTGCAATGTCTTCACACTCTGCAGTATCATTTTTTCAGTTGGTTGTCGTGATGAAGATGTTGAGGGAGATGGCATTGTCAACGATTTTTGGATCTGACGTCTAGTTCCTGATCTGTCATAACTAGTGGATTTAGCTATAGATGACACAGAAGATTGGAGGACTTTAATACCAGAGCCTTGTGGTGGTGAAGAGGACTGGGAAGATTGAAGGTCTGGATTTGCAGACCCTTGTTGGGAAATTCCTTGTTTCTGAACAAGGATTCTTCCTCCATTATCCATTACCAAAAGGGAGCACGTGGGAGGCAATGCTTTCAGGCATTTGGAAACTGTTGAATCTTTTGGCCTGCATAACAAACCCCATGAAAGAGAGAGAGAGAGAGAGAGAGAGAGAGAGAAAGAGCGAGTGAACATTTTTGTGATCATACCATGGATTGCTGCATCCAAGTACAAGTACTGTCGCAAAGTTTATTCTTACTTGATTGCTCAATTCGGTTATGTAGGAATTCCCTATGCAAACCTTGACCTGGAAATCCACCTGAAGAAGGAATCCATCAACAAGCCAATAAGTTAATCCATCATTTTCAAGAACTCTAGTTGTCTTATTCAAATCAAAGATAAGGTGAAACTGTTCTAACATGCTTGGACTTGCAGAGATCTTCATGGATGTGAAAGGTATTTGGATCAAAGGCATCATTTGGTTCCTGCACATGAACAGCCAGCGCATTGTCTCCCGGCTTAACAAACAAAGTAAGCAAACGGAACAGTATTTCTCTGCTATAATTATCGGATTTCAGCCCAACAATGATTGTTCTTTTCTTCACTGTCCTGCTCCTTAGCAGTGATAAGATTCTTCCATTGCTCCTCAGGCTTCCAACCATCATTGACAGTGTTAAGCATTATTCACTTGATATCCAAGAAATGTCGTCGTTTTAAAAATTTCCAGGTTCTTTTATTCCCTCTGAAGATTTTGTCGTCACCTAGAGAATCTGGCAGATCTTACTGCAATAGGTAGTACTTGATTTATGGTGTTGTGGACCCTCTGTAGCTAACTGATGAGCTGGGCACTTATTGATGGTTGGTGGGGTATTTATAACAAGATAAAAATCTATTCAACAATGCCGACACAATGCACCAGTGAAGTGCATGTTCTTGCACTGAAATATATGAACTGCAGAAGAGTCGCCGTTGCTGAACTTACTGCGAGTAAATTAGAGGCTATTTCTCTACACGAACCAATCCTCTGCCTGGATCATCTCCAATGAATTGCTTCTCTCCTGAGTATAAATATACTGCCCTTACGTTTCATAGTATAAAGGTGTAAATGAAATCAGGCTCCTAAAGGATTATTGTGAATGAGAAGCGAGGTTATACTTTTCTGTTGTATGTGGTGAACATCTACCATTAATAGCACATGGATGGTCGAATGAATTTAAAAAAAAAAAAACAAAAAACAAAAAAAAAAAAGAAATAAAAGAAAAGAAATATGACAAATGAGAACTAGTAAGTGTTGTTTTTGTCCCAATAATTGAAGAAGTAGGTCAGCTTACCGAAGGAGGTCATTATAAGGAGGACCACCCAGTGGTACTGCTGGGTCACCCACTGTCAATTGGACCGTCTCCTTAGTAGTGCTCAATTAATGACCCCAGCCACGTAGCTATCTCACTAGATTTACATATTGCTATCGCACTAAAGCAATTAGGCAGTCCCCCCAACGGAAAATGTGGAAACACGAGACCTTGACAGGTCCAAAAAGGCGCTTAATATATAGGGCAATTAAAATTGGCCCCTTTTGAAAAGATCCAATTGAATCCTCTTGTTCATTTTCCTTCATCAACTTGACAAACCCATGGCTACTCCCCCATATCATGAGTGGCACTGCCATTGTTCTGCAATGCTGAGGTTACCAAATTTTACAGTATCCTTGTATCATTTGTGTAACACTGAGCTATTTGTGGACTGGAAGTTCGACAGGCCCTGAAGGATTGGACGAATGTACAAACAGAAGCATTTCACAGATGAAAACTAATCACCGAGCGAAACAAATGCAATGGCTGCTAAGGGTCCTTCCTGTAACTGCCTTTAGCACTATGTGGATGATCTTCTGAATACCAAGTGCCGACATTGAGAGCAGTTTTCCCATCAGTCATCCTTCAAAAGCCATACTCAAAGCAGTAAGACCTTTTAGAAATTCAAAAGGCCCGTTGCATTCTGGAATTAGCAATCTCCACCAAAACCCATTCAGTCCCAAAAAGTCCTGATTGAAACTTTTGCCACCATTTCATGCAATTCCCTCTAGTCCATAGAACTGTGCATACAGATCTAACAGCTAAATTATCCAACATACATTCAACCTACCAGCTGAGGCCATTCAATAAGATATCAAAATACTCCAGAAGCCACCTAAGGGTTGCATAAACCTGTTATCATGGTCCTCGGGATCCCACACAAATAATTCTTATATATTTCCTTCACAGCAACTGAAGGCAATACATGGCAAGTCAAAAAAGATCTGTAACAATGAAAGTTATGCCCAAAAGCTTCTGCAATAGTAGAAAATAGCAAATTATTCTTTTATCCATTTGTTCAATGCCAAAAAAGAAGGGGACAGAGAATAGCTATTACCACAGACATTGTACAAATACATTGAGGTAAATATATAGAACAAGCATTATTACTCCAATCAGATTATCTATCCACATCAAAAAGACAGTGCAAAGTCATACTGTAAATAGGCACAGCAACCACTAATAGGCCATTAAAAATATATATGCAAATCTACGTGAAACTGCAGGACCTTCACGATTAATCTGAAGGGAAATTTGCCATGCTTCTCACTCAGATATCCACAATTCACTTGTCAGCAACCTGGGCAGACAAATCAGGATGGCAAGTCAGAAAGGAGAAAACAAAACTTATCCAGCTCAACAATCACAGCAAAAGGCAACCAAAAGGCTAAACTCCTCAAATGATCCTGGCACCAGTTACCCTGTCCTCCTCCTCCTCTATAAACGACAAACTGATCCAGTTTCAAATGATAACCCAATTGTTGAGGAAACAGAAAATGCACAATTTTAAGCTATTAATGCATCTTGCTTGTTCTCATTCACAGATTTCTATATATAAGCTCAAATGCTATTGGAGTTGGTGTGGGATTATCTGAAAGAGTGATCATGTCATATTAAAATCGTAGAGGACAATTCATGGGAAAGGGAGAACCAAAACGAATATGGAGTGAGATAGTGAAAAAGGTTGTGGTTGCTTGCTATTCCAAAGAACATTTAGTACCTGATGATGCAGGATGGAGAAAAAAATCATGTTGTTGCTCTCAAATAATTGTGACAAAATCTTTGTTTCATCTGATTAGTTTGGCTTATATCCCACACTTGAAAGAGATGATAACTGAAGGGAGCAATATTACACCCTATAAAAGAATGACATCTGTCTTCAACTATGTGAGCTAGCCTAGACTAGGGACAATGAACAGAAATGATTGACCAGAGCACCTCTGACCAAGTTGGGTCGAGGCCCGAGTACTCAACAAGCATGGCAGGGTTTGTGAGACTGAACATACTCATACCTGCCCACGAAGGTCAAGGGTCTGACCAAGCAGGTCAATACAAGTCCTGATCAACTTGACTCATGATTTGATACACCAGGCTACAAATATCGAGAAGCCAACTAAGTGATAGACTTGCCTTACACAAGATAAGGAACGCCAGATTAATTGGGATTTCTACTAGTATAATCAGTGTTATTTAAGGCGTAAAGCGAATTGAAGCGAACCGGTCTTCTGAGGGCCTAGGAGAGAATCGAGAAGCGAAAAGTGAAACGAGCGCTTCATTGAAGCAAAGTGAACAATATAAAAAATAAGCAAATATTTTAGTTTCATATTTTGATTACTCCTAAATATTCAAGTTTTAACTTTATAAATATAAAATATTTAAATGTAATCAAAATAATAAATATCAACATATTTTAAATAGATAAGATATTAAATATTGAACATTATTGTATTCTAAAAATAATCAATTGACATAATTACGTCATCTAAATATAAAGTTAACAAATTTGGGTTCGATTTTTACCGTGATTGATTAATATCGCCACTAAACATAGCACTCACAAATTGATTAATCAAATAAATAGAGCATATAGCAAATAAATTAATCAATTTGATTAACCAAACAAATTGATTAATGAGAGCATTCACATCAAAACAAAGCATTCAACATTATCTAATCATAATAAGACATATTGTCATATGATACTGTTACACGAATTAATTAATTTATTTTATACATATACACATATAACATCATCTCTGCTAGGGTTTGGTTGATGTTAAAGGAGGAGGAGGAGGAGGAAGATGGGGGAAGAGGAGGAGAAAATAAAAAAAATTGCAGTCAAGCGTTCGCTTTTATTGTCTGGCTTGCTTCGTCGCCTAAGCTTGCTTTACTTAATCTCGCTTCGCATTAGATGTTCAAGGCGACCAAGGCTCGCTTCGCTTCTCACTTAGGCTCGCTTTTCACAACATTGAGTATAACAATAGGTGGGATAAGATTCCGTCTAACAAAGAGATTATTGGAGACGACCTAAGAAGGCCATCCCTAAGAACGGATAAGTCAAGGCTAATCCAAATACATACCAGGCCTAAGAGGCCAGTCAATCAGAAGACAAAATCTAAGAAGGTCATTATAGCAGGTAAGCATAACTTATCCAAACTCTGTCAAAGGACTATTTTATCAAAGCCGTTAGCCAATAACAAAATGAGACTTATGAGAGTCTAATGAACTAGATCAGCCAGAGTTTATCCGGATTGATGAACAGAGACGTTTGACCAAATAGACTAGCTACAGAGGGCGATGGCCTGAGATTATCTAATAGAAGCTGCAAAACCTTTGGTAAAATTCAGTGTGTACCACATGAATCTCAATGAAACTTGGAACCTAATTCCTACTTTGATGAGAAAATATTCCCTCTAAATACCGACAAGTCTTAAGAACTCGGGTGCATATAAACTGAAGTGAATTCCCCCTATTCTCTTGTGACTCTAACTAATTTAAGCATCAGAGTGTCTCCACTTGGCTCTCCACAATCCATGAGAGTTTGTTTTGCATGTTTCCAGAAATTTGGAGTACAGCCCTCCATCCTGCCAGGTGCAGATTTTTTCTGTATAAAAACAATTTGAAAGATTCCCAACCGACATGCCAACTTAAATACCTTGTGTCAAAAATCACATAAATAAACATTACACACGACTGGTTTATTCCACAAGTGTGACGCATAGTAGCGAATTCACCCCTATTGTACTATTGAGGAACATAACTAGACCCATTTATAGATAAAAATAAGAATCGAAACATAACAATTAACTTTGACAGTGGAGGCCAATTTGTTCACTTCTACATACAGCACACAATAATGAATCGCCATATTAAGAAGACAACTGTGATGCATATATTTTATGTGCAAGCCTATAACATCGGCAAAAGGTGGTTTCAATCCAAGCTGAAATGAATCTTCTCTACTGGAAGAGTACATAAGGCAAGTCATTGGCAGGCCAACCATACACAACAAGGGGTATGCCTTGATGTATCTTCAAATACATTATGGAGTTTTCTTTGGCTATTTGGTGGAGTTAAAACCTTGATTGGGAAGAGATCTATCTCAACTCAAATCAACCAACCAAACTAAGCCTATGTCCCAATTATTTGGGGTCGACTATACGAGTCTGTCTTCGTCATTTATTTCGGTCATGCGCTATACACTCATTTAAGTTAAATTTTTTATATTTTTTCTTATTATTTTATTCAATGTTAAGTAAGAAAAATTCTATCTCTTTTTCTAATCAGTGTCTCTATCGACCTCCGTTGAGCATGACAAAAACCATCTTAATCTATTCTCTCTCAACTTATCCTCAATTGTTGCTACTCCTATCATTCCTCTAATACAGTCATTTCGTATTCTATCCTTTCTACTCAACTCAAATCACATTCGAACAATAATAAGTACATTTTCAACAAAATATAATTTCCGACGAACTCCCCATGAGAAAAACATCATAAATCAATATCCGCAAGCTTCTCTTTAACTGCAAAATGTTTCCTATATATCCATAAAAAATGATATATTGTAAGACCATCAATCATTCGCCAGGAAAAAAATCACTGAGCTTATGCCAAAACTTCACTGTACAACAGAATGCCACATGGCAAAGCAACAGAGCAGGCCTATTGTTCGATGCCAGCAATGGATAGAGTTATTCACACTTGTGTAATAAGTTACATAACTACCCTTTTGCAAATGCTGGCACACAAGGCATTAGAATTCTTGTTCAAGTAGGTCTGGTTGCCCAAGATGGCCTCAAAACCCCAATAACAGATTAAAAAATGTTAGGACATTCTAAAATTTGCAAGAATTAGCCACGCACCCAGGAAGAGCACACTTCACGAAATCTCGACAGAAAAAATAACTAAATAAATAACAGAAGTGACCCTCCAAAAAAGTCCAGTTAGTATGACTTTATGACCAACACTAGTAATGAAGGTGCAAAACCATGTAGATTCTAGACTATAAAAACACCAAACAATCAAGTAAAGTTGACTGGACCATAAAGGATTCACCCTGTTAAATGGTGAAACTGACAAAAAGGAAGGACGAGGAGAAGGGAAGACCATGAATATTTCCAGATATGCTATCAAGAGATGATAAGTACAACAATGACCTAACATTCAAAGACCTTATAAAGGCAACTGTTAAGAAGAAGATTCAGAAGTTTACCTGGTTGAGAGGATTGTCTGGAGATTTCTTCCATAGCTTCCATATCATGTCCTTATATTGAGTGTGAGTAAGGCCTGGTTTCTCTTCCTTCAGCTTGGGAAGCTCGGCTTCTTCAAAAGCCTACAAACATATAAATTCCACACATCAGCAAGTCAAAGCGGATAAAAACTGCAGTAACATACTGTATGGGTCCTCAAGGTAAAACAAGATCTGCCTTGCCCTCATACTCACATAGCACAAAGGTGTCAGCGATCTGTGTCGCTATGAAAAGAACCAATACAAAATATACAACTTGTATCTTCCATTTCAAAGTATAAAAATAGCAGATTAAGTTCTCCATGAAATGTTCGTCCTTACTTCTTACAATAAACTGAAATTCGATTTTTAGACGGTGCACAACAAATACACCTTTGGACCGGATTTTCAATGGAACTAGTCAATATGTCGGTCTCAATCAGCACAAATAAACTTCAAGCAACAGTTGACCGCAAAAAAAAAAAACCTTCAAGCAAACGATTCACACATACCCTACAAATAAAAATCGGCCAAATTACGAAACCATGTCAAACCAAATTATTCTAAATGTATAAATATTCACCTTGAATGACGCTTTAAGCCTCCTTTCAGGATGCTTATCAACCGGCAAGGTATCGGTGACCGCCATCTGGGCAATCGCATCTTCGACCGTATGTGCGTCAATAATCGAATCATCACGATTCGTATTCGCCACAAGAACCATTCTCTCATACTCTTCCTCCGCCGCGGTCCGGCTCTGCCGCTTCTTTGCCTCCTCAGACCTTTTCAGAATTGCAGCCTGCTCTTCCTCCCTCCGCCGCTGGAGCTCCGCCTCGGTGACCTTGGGTACCGGAATCGAAACTCGATTGACCTTCTTATCCGGCTTCCTCATAGTCTTTTCGATCTCTTTCTCCTCTTGCTCGGCTAGCCGGCGCGCTTCGGCTTTACGAGCCGCGGCCTCGGCTCGCTTCTCAGACTCTTCTTCTCGTTTCTTTGCGGCGCGCGACTTGTTGCCCTCGGCTTCGTGCCAGTACTGATCTTCTTTCTGGCGGGCATCACGCTCTTTCCGCTCCGCTTCGGTGGCGCTCTTCCTAGCCCTAGCCTCTTCGGCTTTGCTGTTCACGCCCATCTTCTTCGGCATCTTTATGCTTCTCTCTCACAGCAGCACCTGCGAGAACGACCGAAAGTGTGGTGATCTGGAAATTTGGGGAAATCTTTTATATGATGTTGGAGGCTTTTGACGTAATATGTAAAACTCCTATAAAAAAAATTAAGATTAATTGCATGAAGTCCTATCTTATTTTATTTTTTAATATTTTAATTATATTATTTTACTTCTTAAAGTATTAAATATGTTATATGTGGCCTGCAACTGGACAATATTTAAGTTACTAATAGTTTTTTATTATAAATATGAAACGTAATACTTAAATATGGACAAAAAAATAATTTAGATAATTTTTCGATAAAAAATATGTAATTTTGATTATCCTCGACCAAAATTTGGATAGTTTACCAAAATTGTGTAATTTGGATAGCTCTTTGACTAAAATTTGATTATAACACATGACAAGTTTATAATAAAAAATTATTAATAATCTGGATCAAATTATTACTTGTGTCTGAAGGCACAAAGTAATAAAAAATAATAAACAATAAACATATTTGTATTTATATTCAAAATTATATCACGAATATAGAGAATAAATAAAAAAATGTAAGCATCGATTTGTAATGGGGTGAAAGGTGGTAGGCGACAATGGTGGTAATAGGAGACAGTGATGATTTATGGTGGATGACAATGACCATGGTGGTGGCAGTGATGATAGTGGTGGTGGAGGCGGTGATGGTGGTGGTGGTGGCGGTGGTGGTGGCGGTGGTGGGGCGGTTTCAAATATTATTTTTTTAAAATATTTATGATATGTAATTTCTAAAAGTACTTTTAAAAAATCACTCTAAACACACCCTTAGAGACATATTTTTTCTATTAAATTTAGGATGTTAATATTAGTAGTTAGATTAATTTTAAAATAAAATTTAAAATGATCTCAACTACGAACAGTAAAAATCATTTTATTTATCGTTTGAGATTTGAATTGTAAACTACTTTATTATATAGATATTAAATATTTTGGGGACTAAAATAATGTAATTAAAATATTAAAGACTAAAATGAGATAAATTTTATACTTTAGGGATCTCTAGTACAATTAACTCAAAATTAAAATAAACTGTTTGCCTACTAATGGACTATTGTGTGGGCTGTGTGAAATATTGGGCCAGAGTTAAGTGGGGTAGGTTTCCTCAGTATAATGGATCAGCCCAAAAAATCGAGTCCCTAGCTAAATATGGATCAAATAGCCCTTGTTTCAGTCAAATTAGGCCTTAAGCCCACCCAAATAGATGACAACCTGCTTTGATCGACATCTATGAATCATCTCTCTCTCTCACACTTACTGTCGAAGAGGACACCCACTACAACGACTCATCAGGAATATTAGGCCTTAGTTACTTCGGGCCCAAGTATATATACGCTGGCTAGTCATCGTCTCGTCGTTGCTCGAAACTTCGAACTGTAGAAACACTCCGCCGAGCGATCACCTTTCAACAATCAGCACCCCTTTCCTCTACCAGAATAGCATTCGATCAAGCAGAAAGTACTGATGATGAAGGAGGCCATTGACAAGAACGCACCACCAAAGCCCTCTCCTCGGAAGATTTTGGGAACCAACACGCTCCAACTCACCCCAGACGATGCGTCACGCCTAGTCGGTGGGATAGTCGAAAAGGGATTCTCAGAACAACCTCAAAACAGGCCTGTTGGTCCTTATTCAGCCCCTAACCCCACCGTTCTTCCGTTTCCGGTGGCCCGTCACCGCTCTCACGGCCCGGTATGCTTTTTCTTTGCAACTCTATTGGTTGGGTTAGGCATAAGAATCACTAACTATTGCAATTGGGATTTAGTTCTTTAAAACCCTCCACCAAGAAAAGAAAAGAAAAGAAAGAGGGGGAAAACTCAGATTTTGAGTGTCGTACGTTCTTTTCGTGTCCAAAAGAACGGAGAAAAAGTTACATAGATTTTGTTAACTAGCAGTGATTGGCTTAGCTCGTACAAATATTGTCCCAAATCATTAAATTGATGTAATATACGGTTCAAGATATAATCTCCATCCACTACACTTATTCTGAGCAACTGGATATCAAAAATGGATTTGGTTTCCTACATCTTTTTCCTTAGCTACTAGAGATTTTCGTTTTTCATTCTGTGCTGGTTGTGAGTTGTGAGTTGTGAGTTCTGAGTTGTGAATTATCTTGGGTGTGTAAAACACTTCGGAAGTACAAACGTGAAGGCTATGTTTGAAAGTCTTCTATAGAAACCAAATAAAAAGCATTTTCTTTTTCGATTATACCTCCGTGGGCTTTTTTGGGGGATTGGGATTTGCCTGGGATTTGAGATATACGGTATTTGTAGATGCATTATGTGATGCAACACTTTACTTTACAGCATTGGACTCCAAAGGGAAACTATTCTAGTGTTGGTCATGATGAAGATGAAGATGAAGGCGAAGATGAACACTTCACGGATATTGACCCCGTTGCGGCTTTTGCTAATCCAGTACAAAGGAAAGAGAAGAAAGGTTTGGACTTTGGAAGGTGGAGAGACCTAATGACAAGTGATACTACTTCCATATCTCGCAAAGAAAGAGAAAATAGGCAATTACCGGAATCCAAAAGGCAACATGTAGTTAGTGAAGCAACTGAAATTATAAGAAACACAAATCTGCATATTGGTTCCGAAAATGGTGTCCAATCACAGAGAAGGTCACCTAATGATGATGCAAGAACACAGGCGGTGAAAGTGGACGGCATAGACCTTGCAACTTTGGAAGGGGTACAAAAGCATGAGCAAGACATTTCAGCTATGGCCATTGATGGTGATAAAAGTAACTTAAAAAATGGGATTGCCAAAACGCAAAAAGAGATTATGGAGGAGATGGAATTTGGATTGCTGGAGGAGTCAAGAAAAGAAATGTTAGTGGGCACAGCGACACAACACATGCCAACATCCCATACAACTTCAAGTTCTAGTTTTGGCAACCTGATAGATGAATCAGGAGCCATGAGTCTGGAGAGTCAAATTGATGCTGAGAATAGTGCTCGATTGGAGAGAATGTCAACTGATGAGATTGCAGAAGCACGGGATGAGATTATGACGAGGATGAATCCTGCACTGGTAATGGCATTAAAAAGGCGGGGTCAAGAAAAAATGAGAAAGCAAAAATGCTCCAGTTCAGAGATGACTGCAAGTGTTGGAGGGGATATGTTGCAGAATGATCAAAATTTGACTAATGCATCCATAGTTTCAAAGAGTGGTACACCTCTTAAAGTGACAACATCTGACACAAAAGATACACAGAGGGAATTAAATAAGAACATTGTGCAGAAATCGAGCACAGGTAGTAGCAGTTTGTGGGATGCTTGGAGTAGAAGAGTTGAGGCTGTCAGGGAATTAAGGTTTTCCCTGGATGGGGATGTCATTCGAAGTGATTTCTCTCAGTTATCAAAGACTGGTAAGGCTTAGCTATGATTGTCACTATTCTACTCATTGGTTTTGCTGCAAGCCTGCAAGTCTGCAATTGTTATTGATATTTTGGCGATTTCTTTTATTGATGTGGATGTTGTTTTTTCAAACTTTGTTGATATCTCTCGCGTCCATTGTTTATATACTCATGTGTTTTGAGTCTAAACTTTGGATTTTAGCACACTCAATTTCATCTGCCTGATTTTGCTGGTTCTTTTATATTATTGTACTTATTCAGCTGACGCAATGATATTCTTCCTTAAGCAGAAAAAATGCGCATTTCTTTCGGTATGAACCATTGTATCATTCTATGGTCTTTCCTTTCGGCAAGACAGTTTCATTGGCCTTCTACTTGAGAATTGAGACTGTTGTGGAGTTTTTGCTTTTGAAACCCTAATTGTGATAGGGAGTGCATACACAGGGTATAAAATGATAGACCTTGATTATATAAGTATTTATATTATCAAGGTCTCTAATTACACATGATGGTGACTTTATTTCCCAGAGAACAAGTCTCATTGATGTTGGACAACACAATGGTTGAAATGTGTTAGATATAGTGTTTGGTTGCTTTTTTCTGTTGAAGAAAGCCAGTGCAATATATGAATCTGTGTACAATAAATTATGAAGGTAAAAAGTTGTTGATTGAAAATGAGTTTTGCAGATTATATTCTTTCATTTGAAACACAGGGCAACAAAAACATGATTATTGATGAAATTGCTCTGTTTGGGTGGTCACATTTTCTGGAGGATTGAATTGGGCGGACTCATGCCATGTTTGAAATTTTGGAGTTCGTTGGTGATATGGTAGCAAATGCCTCTGTCTCTCATATGCATGAATTGATAATGGTTAACACTCGACCTTATCATGTTGTAGGTAGTATATCTGCTTGCAGTGGTTATAGTACTGATAATGTTTCTGAGCGCGATTTCCTTCGAACTGAAGGCAACCCTGGTGCTGCTGGTTACACTATCAAAGAGGCAGCAGCTCTCACTAGGAGCGTGGTTAGTTAATATTATATATTAGTGCTTAATCATTATATTTACACTGGCTTCTTTAACACCTACAATATAAAACATAAGTAATTATCAAACTTGTGTATCTTACTAGTAAATTATATGTGATGTAATCAAATTGTTAGATACTTTTTGACCTTCTTTTGGAATTAAAATTTCAGGTTCCTGGGCAACGGGCCCTTGCATTGCATCTTCTTGCATCTGTGCTTGATAAGGCATTATGCAACATTTGCCAAAATCCAGTTGGATATACCCTGAGATATGCTGACACTGGCAGTTCTATTGATTGGGAGGCTATATGGGCTTTTGCGCTAGGCCCAGAACCTGAGCTTGCTTTATCATTGAGGTTTGACGACTTATCTCTAGATCTAATAATTATATCTTGATTAGTGAATCTATATCTGGTGTGGAGCTTATCATATTTCTGTCCGATAGGAGTCCGATTTAGGCGAATTATCAGCTTGGATATGCAAGTGTTGACCATTCTTCCCTTGATGTCCCCAATCGCAAGCAAATCTTACTCATTGTGGATAGGACTCATTAAAAGTTAGAAAAGGGCATTGATCTGTAACTTCTTCACACACCAAAGATATAAACTGAAAGTCACATCATATTTTACAGCCTATACCTAGATTTTGAAAAAAAAATGATGTCAAAATGCTCAAAATGTTTTTTATTGTTATGAGACTAAAAGAGGATACACAAGTAATTCGTGTTCGGGCTTTAACTGGAATGATGTTAACAAGTTTCTTGGTTGCTTCAGTGAGGCCTGTTGAATTTTGAAATCCTTGTAGTTGTAAATCAACTGTTGACATGAGTCTTCCTGCTAATCTTTTGGCTCTTTGTTCTTTTTCTGATTCTTCATTTTTCTTCTTATCACCAATTGAAAGCACATATCCTCACCTTATTGCCCCTTTCCCCCTTCCCACTACCTTCATTTATTGGAATCCATAGCGAAAATAATTAAAAACAGAATGTTAGAATTTTGAAAGAGAAAAAGGGACAGATCAAGGCTGAGGTAAATATAGATCAGACAAAATAGGAAATAAAGATGTCTTCGATATATTGAAATGAGGGTGTACTTGTAAATTAGAACATGCAGAAAAGTAGATCTTTTGATTGTAATCTAGACTGCTCATCACCTCTTTCAGGTTGGGACACTAGTTTAACCAAATTGAGCTTTCTAACTTTGACCGACCTTACCTTCATACTTGTTCGCACCAAACAAATTGGGAGTGACATAGATGTAGCGAACCTGAACATCATTGATGCAACTATTCTAGTAATTTCTTCTGAAAATTTGTATTGTACATAGCTGAATATAAATAACACCACAGACAAAAAACTGATTTATGTGATGAGTTATGATAACAGCTGTGTTTTAGATGATTGGATCACCTTTATGATTAACATCTATTACTCATACGTTTTTTTTTTTGAACTAATACTCTTACTTTTGTTTGGGTTAAAGTGTTTGTCATTATCTCAACAACCTTATCCTTCCTTTCACCAGTTTACGCTGGTGTCCTCCAGTGTAGATGCATGTATCGGGCTCACTCAAAATATTTGATCAAGAACTTTTAAGACTTAAATACTATGCCTAACAATTTCATCCTTGTCCCAGTTCACTGGTGGCTTTCATATTTTGTACAGAAAATTACAATATTTATTGCTCAATGATATGCAAATTATGTGATAATCATAATACTTATAGGCAACAGCAATCAGTCATTTTAGTTCTTTACCACCTCTGCTTTTATGTGTAAATTCGGAAATGGTTTCACATGTAGGATGTCCCTAGATGATAACCACAATTCTGTGGTTTTAGCTTGTGCCAAAGTCATTCAGTGCATATTGGGCTGTGACATTAATGAGCACTTCTTTGATATCTCAGAGGTAGAGTTGCATTCTTGGTGTGGATTTCTTCGTTAAGTCTGTCATAAATGTTCTTAAGTTCATGTTTATTACCTTGTGCTTCCAGAAAATAGCAACTTATCAGAAAGATGTCTGCACTGCTCCCATATTTAGAAGTAGACCGGAGATTGATGTTGGCTTCCTTCAAGGTGGCTTTTGGAAGTACAACGCTAAACCTTCCAATATATTTCCTTTTGGTGAGGGTGCCTCAGATGACAATGCTGAAGGTGAACACACGATTCAGGATGATATTGTCGTTGCTGGACAGGATATTGCTGCAGGTTTGGTTAGGATGGGAATTCTTCCAAGAATTTGCTATCTGTTGGAGGTAAGGACAATTTTGATGGCGGTGTTTCTTTGATTTCTGTGTTAGTTTGAGAAAATTGCTGAACATCATGAACTATTAAAACTGGTGTAATTTGAAACTTAAAACCCTTTTGTCTATTTACCAACTTTGGAATTTTCTTAGAGCTCACTAATGGTTGATTTTCTCTCCCTAATTGTTCTGTTTGATTAACTGCTTCACTACTCAAAATTCCCCTTACTTTGAAAGCTGTTCACATCCATTTTTATGTTCATACCCAAGGGCAAGTTGGTACTTTTCCCTCTTGATTTTTACAAAAGCTTACAATGTATAAATAAATAAAAGAACACAGAAGAACAAGAAGATAACAATGTATAATATTGTTGCTCCGTGAGATTCTGAGAAAAGGATACTATTATGTTTTTGCAGAACTTCCTAGTTAGATATTTTAGGTCTGACCTTTCAATATTGAAGATGAATTTTGTTTGTGTTCCAAAAGTGCATTCAGTAGGCACATGTGCCTTGGTTTTTCTTTTTTTGAATTAGTTACATCTTGTATTTGCTGAAGCAACACATGAGGTTAACATTGTTTCGCTGCCTCTGTTACAGGTACATAATGGTAAAAAGTTTGCAACCGTTTGAGTTGACTGAATATAACTGGTGTGTTCTATAATGAAATATATTGCACTTTGCCAATAAACTTAGATAGAAGATTGTGGCCTGGTCCTTTTGCACACACCCTTAAAGTCTAGGATTTTATGTGCTGTGTCCTTTTAGGTGTCCCACACCAAGAAAAAGTCTTGAACACTGATGTAGGGCAGATGTGCATTGTGTTCCAATACAACAGCCTAGATATTCTATTTAAAAGCTATCAGGCACCTTCAATCGGGATGTATATTTTCCTTTTGTTCTGATAATAACTGCATCTTAGATTATAGAAAAAAGAACAGTCAAGCGCATGAGGCTCCACATGCGATCTTAATCCACATGCGAGGCTATTTACGTGATTCGAACCTGTGTATACCAAAGTCAGGTCACAATGGAGCAACCTTATTGGCTCGTCAAGGCCAGCGGTAACACCATTAAACATTTTGCAAAGAGATGGTATACTTGTTCTTCTTTGCATCTCTCTCAGTGGGTAAGATGATTCTTGTGGGAGTCTCTAAAATGGAATTTGGATCCCTTTGAATGTAGGATTCACATCAAGAAGCATAAAACTTGCATGTTTTTTTATGTTGTTTCTTTGGGTACATGTTACATATTTTATAATTTTTCACTAGTTGGAAGAATTGCAACCAAAAATCTGATGATATTAAGACTTGTGCTCAAAATTTGTAGGAAAATGGGATTTTTTTTACTATTGAACTTTCCTCATTTGACATGTTCACAATAATGCTCTGTACTGTTTGATATGTTCACCACAATGTTACACTTGCTGATGGTTTTGCTCCAGACAGACCCTTCGGCAGCTTTGGAAGAAAGCATTATTTCTATCCTGATTGCGATAGCAAGGCATTCCCCGACATGCTCGGAGGCAATCATGAATTGCCAAAGGCTCGTTCAAACAATTGTTGACAGGTTTACTATGAAAGACCAAATGGAATTTTATCTTTCTAAGATAAAGTCAGTGACACTTTTAAAAGTAAGCATTTTCTTTGTCTTGCTTTCAACATTTCATCTTAGATTCGTGTCTCTAATCTTCTTCTACTTACTATGGTCAATTATATTTGCACTTAGCACAAGGTAAACATTTTATATTCCTTTTTAATATCCAACAGGCGTTGGCTCGGTCTGAGAAGAAGAATCTTATGGAGTTTGTAGATAATGGGATTTTTCAGAAGGTGACATGGCATTTGTACCGATATGCATTCTCCCCTGATCACTGGGTAAAGTTGGGAAGGGAAAATTGTAAACTTTCGTCAGCTTTGCTGGTTGAACAATTACGTTTTTGGAAGGTCTGCATTCAGTATGGGCATTGTGTGTCTTACTTCTCAGATCTATTCCCTGCTCTCAGCATTTGGCTGGATGTGCCTTCATTTGAAAAACTCATTGAATATGACATCCTTAATGAATTTGCTGCTATCACCAAGGAAGCATACCTTGTTCTGGAGGCTTTAACTAGAAGACTTCCAAACTTTTATTCACATATCAATCTGAGAAGTCAAACAGCTGAGGTTCCCGGTATAGATCAGGAAACTTGGTGTTGGGGCCATGTCGGACCGATTGTTGATTTAGCTCTAAAGTGGACAGCATTGAATAGTGACCCGTACATATCAAAATTCATTGGCTGGCAAAAAGTCATTAACAGCAAGTCTGTAGTGCCGGATTTAGCTTTAAATTCCATATTATGGGTGCTTTCTGCAGTCATGCACATGCTTTCCAGTTTGCTCAAAGTTGTGATCCCTGAGGATATCTCCACCCTACATGGTGGGCATGTGCCATGGCTACCAGACTTTGTCCCTAAGATTGGACTTCAAATTATTAAGAATGGATTTTTGAACTTCTCAGGGGTAAATGGTACAGAACATAGTAAGGATTTTGCTGGCGGTGCCTCTTTCCTTGAGCATTTGTGTGATTTGAGACATCAAAGGGAACATGAAACCTCTATAGCTTCTGTATGTTGTCTTCATGGGTTAGTTCAGGTGGTTGTTTCTGTTGACGAGTTGATTCGGCTAGCTAACACGCAGACTCATACACCTTCCCATTGTCACATCCCAACAGACGATGAAATACTTTCCAATGGGATACTCGAGTCCTCTATTCCTGAATTGGGAAATGTGGTCACTACTTTCACGAGTTTAATTGCTTCTGAGTGGCAGCATGTGCAGTCCACTGAGATGTTCGGGAGAGGTGGCCCTGCTCCAGGGGTCGGTGTGGGTTGGGGTGCATCCGGTGGAGGGTTTTGGTCCACAACTATTTTGTTGGCTCAAATGGATGCAAGTTTGTTCATTCACTTGCTTGAAGTTAGTAAGTTTTTTCCTGCAAAAGGTTTGTCTGCTGTTGAAGAGATAAGATTTGTACTGGAAAGGATATGTTCGGCTTTGGAAGTATGTTTAATTGTGGGACCAAGGGAGAAATTTATAATGGATAAGGTGTTGGATATCTTGAACCAAGTCCCTGTTCTAAAGTATCTGGATATTTCTATTCGTCGTTTTCTCCATCTTAATGCAGGATTCAAGTTATTTGAATGGGAATATAAAGAAGAGGACTACCTCCACTTTTGCACTGTTTTAGCTTCACATTTCAGAAATAGGTGGCTCTCTGTAAAGAAGAAGGTCAAAGCTGAGGGTAAGAATTGGTGTGTCGACCACAAAACTTTAAATGGCAGTGTTTCCCTGGACACCATTCAAGAGGACGTGGAAGTCTCAACTATGACCAATCAAGGGCATTGTTCAACTTCTTTGGTGGTGGAGTGGGCTCATCAGAGACTGCCGCTGCCCCCACATTGGTTTCTCAGCCCAATCTCAACCATCAACCCTTCTGATTTTCAGGAAGTTGCTAAAGCTGGGCTGTTCTTTCTTTTAGGCATTGAAACAATTTCTACTTTCTTTCCTTCTGAGTTCCACTCCTCCGTTCAGAGGGTACCAGTGATTTGGAAATTGCATGCTTTATCTGTAATTTTCCTTGGTGGAATGGGAGTGCTTCAAGAGGAGAAGAGCAGGGATGTACTTGAAACACTGCAAGAGGTCTATGGGCAGATTCTTGATAACTCAAGGTTTCCAGAAACTGGAGAAAAATATAGAGTGGAGTTCCTGAATTTTCAATCAGAGATACATGAGAGTTACTCCACATTTATGGAAACTCTTGTGGAACAGTTTGCTGCAGTATCTTATGGTGACATGATATATGGACGGCAAGTCGCAATCTATCTACAACCCTGCGTCGAATCTTCTGTACGACTATCCGCTTGGAATGCTTTATTTAATGCTCGTGCTCTTGAACTTTTGCCTCCTTTAGACAAATGCATTGGCAAGGTTGAAGGGTACCTTGAACCTGTTGAGGTACTGCGGACCAACTATTTTTTGTTGCCACAATTTTGAAAGCCTCATAATCTTGCATTGCACTTTGCGTATGGAACCCCAAGTGCAATATGGGCATCAACGGAATAATGGGGTTTCCATTTTTATCCTTTTGGATACATATATATGTCGTGTGTATAAAACATATATGTTAGATTGAGGACAGTAAAAGAGTTTAATGCGCTGTAATTCATGGATATTCTAAAGGCTACAATTTTTCTTTACTGGAATATGACGTAATGAAGATTCTGTTTCCGTGCAGGATGATGAGAGGGTTTTGGAAGCTTATGCGAAATCGTGGGTTTGTGGTGCTCTTGACAAAGCAGCAACTCGAGGATCAGTCGCATACACATTGGTTCTGCACCACATGTCATCTTTTATTTTTGGCAATTACACCAGTGATAAAATATTGCTGCGAAATAAGCTTGCCAAATCCCTCCTGCGAGATTACTCTTGTAAGCAGCAACACAAGGTAAAAAACCTTGAGCTTTGTGTTACTTGTCAAATGAGTAAGTCTAAAAATTTTCTTTGATGGCATATTGCTTCCATCTATGTGAATTAGAAGGTACAAGCAATAATGAGTCCTTTTATTTGTGGAAATGGTTGCATTAACGTTTGTGAAAATGAATCATGCATTAATATTATGTAGCCATCAAAGTGTTCTTTTTGATTATTCAAAACCTGCTAGTGTCATTCGTGACATCGGCTGGGCTGTTGGCAGAGCTACCTTGTAATACTGCTTCACGTAATTTAACAGCAGATAGGTACTGAGTTGATATCCATGATAATAATAATGTATTGTAGCATATTATGTCATCGACTTTCCTCCTCATGCATGAAAAAGCCTTCCCCTTTTCCCTCTTGTTTCTAAAAAGCAGCATCTAATTAAGGCATATGCTTGTTCATTTCTGTATGTGACAGTGCATGATGGTGGATCTTATCCGATACAAGATGGACCCCACATTTCAGAAGTCTGGACAAGAGGAAGTTTTGTCACTGCAGATGTCCCAATTAGAAGAAAGATTCAAGTTATTGAAAGAGGCTTGTGAGGGGAATTCCTCGCTTTTGAGTGAAGCGGAAAAGCTAGAGTCCTCTTGTAAAAATAGTATGGCTTAACCAGGGACATGCCTGTATACATAAAGCTAATCCATACCGTGTTTAGTGCTCATGAATCTAATGTAACGGAAAATGAAAATGGCTCATTTTTGTTCTGGAAGTTTTCCGTAATAATTGTAAAGAACTAATATGTAATATTAGGGACTTAAACAAAACTTGGGTTTACCATGTGGTGGATCTTCCAACCTTGCTAAAGCTTCTGCATGAATTACTGTTTGTTTATTGGTGCTTGTACATGATTAAACCATCTTTTATGTCAATACGTGCTTCACTTAAGGATTCGGGGTTTAATATCCTTGGTCCTACACCTTCTTCTATTGCTTTCTTACAATCATTTAAGCACTCCACATTTATCTTAACAACATGATAGTTTTAGTGAAGTGCTTGTCTCCTCCATCAACCTAGCTCAATTTTGTGGCAGTTGTGTTGTGCTTCTCTTCCCAATGCACTTTGAAATGGTTTGGTTTTTGGCATTTTGATGGACCAGATTATGTAGAAACACGTAATTTATTCTTCTGAAGCTACATAGAACATCACATCTATATATAATCTGAACAACATATCCGCTGAACATATTGAAGACGACAGCCATATCTATTTGTATCTAGACTAAATCAGGCCTTCCAATGGCATGGCTGTTTTTAGTGGATCTGGATCATCTCAGTTTTTCCAAATTCTGTCAAATTCAAAAATTTATTGTTAATTCCATTGAGTGTCACCAATGGTATGGATTTTATTGGTATCCGGTGAGATATGGCTAATTTAGAAGTGAATGATTAATCAATTATTATGATACCGGGTTGGGTTGCCACATGACAGAGAAGGCACTATCTATTGGGTCAAGAAGATTAAAATTAAAATAAAAAACAAACTCCTGTCTAATTGCTGGACAGTTGTTGATAGTTGGACCAGAAAGAGAAAATGTCATTCGCCAATTTCACAATTTTTAACTCCCACTTGCAGGATCCACTTTTCTTGGTCGCACTGATTGCTTCTTACATAATTGATACTTTAACGGGGCAAAGCTTATAAAAGATCAGTAATACTAGATTGATCAAATTTTGGAATCAAATTTAAAGTTCAAATGACGTGACAGTTGATTTGAACTTCTTTGATTGATGTCATGTCATTTAAGCTCCAATAAAAATTTTAAATAATCAATTATCACGTCATTTAGATTTTAAATTTAATCCTAAAATTTGATCAATGTAACGGTAATATAAAAGATAAGCTAAAGATTCACTTGATTTTCACACACACAGATGGAAGGGGGAACAGAAAGACAAGCAACAAGTGGAAAGGAAGAAGACGCACAAGCCCAAGTGGATATTTGGAAATATGTGTTTGGGTTCACTGAAATGGCAGTTGTGAAGTGTGCCATTGAGCTTGGGATAGCTGATGTCCTGGAAACCCATGAAGCCCCTATGCCTCTCCCTCAACTATCTTCAACACTTGGATGTTCCCCATCATCCCTCCACCGCATCATGAGGTTCTTGATTCATCGCGGCATTTTCAAAGAGAATTCAACAGGCCAATGTTCCGTTGGTTATGTTCAGACACCACTCTCTCGCCTTCTAATGAAACATGGAGAAAAAAGCATGGCTCCATTGTTGCTGCTAGAGAGCAGCCCTGTGATGCTTGCACCGTGGCATAACCTAAGAACCCGTGTTTTAGCCACCGGAACTTCACCATTTGAGGCTGCCCACGGGGAGGATGTGTGGAGTTACGCGATGACAAACCCGGCCCATAGTAAGCTCATCAATGATGCAATGGCTTGTGATGCTCGGGTGGCGGTGCCTACGATAATTTATGGTTGTCCAGAGGTATTGGAGGGGCTTGGCTCGTTGGTGGACGTTGGCGGGGGTGACGGAACAACTCTTGGCATTCTGGTGAAGGCCTGTCCTTGGATTCGAGGGATCAATTTTGATCTCCCTCATGTTGTGTCTGTTGCTATGCCTTGCGATGGTGTTGAGCATGTTGGAGGCAACATGTTTGACAGTGTTCCAAAGGCCGATGCTGCATTCCTCAAGGTTAGTATATTTAAGCTGGACTAGAAAAAATAATAAAACAAGATCTAAGGATGCATAGCATCATCGTTCTAGCTGAAATGGAGAGAAAGCGATCACTTCAACTATTGTATATCTGGCTCTAAACGATCCCAGTAGCCAAAGATCGTTTTGAGGTTGGTTAGTTTTTGGCTCGTTCATGATTGTTTTCGTTGAAAATGAGCTGGATCTGATAAAATTTATAAGCTTGTTTTCAACGAACCAAATTTGAGCTACATGTCTCTCGGCTCCAGTAGATAAACAATGCTAATTTCAATAATCAAACAATCCTTATTTGAGAGATGAATAAACCAAAACTTATTCCTAATAGCACCAGGTTTTAAAGATAAACTGATTTTTCTGGTTTAGCTATTACGTTTTAGAGTTTAATTTTTGAATCTTTTTGCTAAGTAATTGTGTTCGGTTGTCTTTTGAATGCTTGTGAACTTCCATCCACCTGAGCTTGAGCAGGAATTTAGGCTTAACAGTGGAACTCGGCCAGTCATAATCAACCCGAACTTGAGTCTTCACAAACTTTACTCATTAACACCCCTATTTGTATTACGTTTGATACACACGCGCTCGTAAATTAGCTGAAATATTATCAACAAACGTTATGGGAGGTCCAAACCTTAGTAATTAAATGACAAATCTTTTATCTAATCTATGCATCTGTGTGAATTGTAGTGGGTACTGCATGACTGGGGAGATGATGAATGCATTCATATCCTGAGGAAATGCAGAGAAGCTGTCCCATCGAACACGGGGAAGGTAATTATAGTAGAGGCCGTGATTGAAGAAGAGGAAGGAGACAAGCTTAAGGATGTGAGGTTGATGCTGGATATGGTGATGTTGGCTCATACAAACAAAGGGAAAGAGAGGACTTTGAAGGAATGGGCACATGTTTTGAAGGAGGCTGGGTTCACCCGACTCTCTGTGAAGCACATTCAAGCGGTTCAATCCGTTATCGAGGCTTATCCCTGACTTGCATTACATTTCTCTCTTCTGGATTTCATTACTCTTGCATTTAGTGGTAGGATTTGTCTTGGGAAGTTACAATTTCATGTTCTATTTCACTCGTTAATGTTGTTTCTTTTTGCCATCCACTCATTATACTAGTTCGATATCAGTCACCAAGAATGTTTAGCTTTACAAGGTGCAATTTGCAACTTGGGTTCTGGAACTGCAACTGCAACATAGCTTGCTGACTACAAAAATAATAACATCTATTGGCAGTTGGAGAGAAGCCAAATTAATACAGGTCACAACCAGTTTGGCCGGAGATTTAGGGAAGTTATGAATCCAAACAGAACCATCAGTCAGCAATATTTTACAAATCGTAGGCCAAACAGTACCTAGTCCAACATACCACGGGTGATGTCTCTTCACTATTCTATTACGTCTTTAATTAGAGGTAACTTGTGCTTAAAAACATAGTGCAATATAAACCAATTAGTTAATTTGGAGAAGTGAGGAGCTAAGAGCCCAAAGAAAGAAAGAGAGTATGAGTGAGAAGAGAGTATAAGTGAGAAGAATAAAGTAAAATTCAATGTGAATCATTTTGAGAGAGATATTGATAACCGTTTAATGAGTTTATTTATTTTGTATTGAAGTCTGATGGAGTTTATGGCAGTATTAGTAGAAAACAAATCAAGCTAATAAGGACTCATAACAAACAGAAGGAAAGCCCAATGAAAAGTCCAGGCCTTTAGGGCTAGTAATTATTGATATTGATCGGACATTAGACGACTTACCAATAAAAAGCAGACATGTGGGTAATTACAGTCATCAGAAGGTGCAAAACACGCTTGAAAGAGGTGTCGAGGAGTTATGTCAGATGGGGCTGAGTACACCCCTCGGAACCTAGCATTAAATAAGATCTAACGACTCATTAATGTGGGTCTTGAGTGGCTTGAGAGAGCCATTAATGAATGTCCAAATTCTCAAAGAATGTGGAGACAGTTATCATTAAGAAGCATTAATAACCATCATGTCGACGTAAAGACCTCGAGGCAGTCCGAGGACTGTATATTCCTACTCATGAAAGCTCAAGTGTAGATTTCAAGCGCCTATTAAGTAGTTAATGACCAAGGATTGGCCCATGAATGCTCGACGGTTCCCGAGTGAGGGTTCAATTGCTCAGGAGGACTAGTCTTAATGAGACTTGATAGGATGACTTTCATTATATTGGAAGATGAGCACATACTATTAAACTCTAAGATGAAACTCAAGGATAGGACCATCATAGCAAACTCAAGTGTAAATATCCTTCGAAAATTCGAACTAATATACGCAATCTCAAATGAAGAATACACTATGCATTGTGACTATAATGCCGACTGACTTGAGCTTCAAAAGAGATTAGTTGGGTACACATCTAACCCCTTTTCTAATCCTTTGGTTGTTTCAGGTTCATCACTCAGGATCATTCAACAGGTCGTTATCTTAACTTATTGCAAGA